AGACAGCAATTTCCAGCCTGAGCCTCATGAGTCTCACGCATTGTTGCCAGGGTCTGCTTTCAGCTTTCCTTCCCTTCATGTTAGTGCTTCTGCCTAATTGTTTTCACCTGTTGGTTCTGAGCTGTCCTTCATCTGGGACTGGTTTCTAATCTGGGAGAAGAGACAGGATAGTCTCCTTTAATGGGCACACCAGTTACCTCATGGCGACTTGCTTTCTGATCTTCATATTGATTTTCTGATGTGGTTAGCTGGGTTCCAAATACTTCTACCTGCCCTATAGGGTTCAAACGTGGGCTCTCTGACTCCTCCCCTCGCTCATCCCCTACTCTGAGATGCACAGATTCCATCCTGAATCCTCCACGCTGGTCCCTCACACACCTTATCGGATCTCCTAGTGTTAGGGAGATGTCATTTTCAGTCAACTTGAATTAAGAAAATGATTAGATTAGTGCTGTAATCTCAGCACTTTGGGAGGCTGAGGTGGGCAGATCACAAGGTCGGGAGTTCAAAAACAGCCTGGCCAACATGGCGAAACCCTGTCTCTACTAAAAATACAAAATTAAGGCGTGGTGGTGCATGCCTGTAATCCCAGCTACTCAGGAGGCTGAGGCAGGAGAATTGTTTGAACCCGGGAGGTGGAGGTTGCAGTGAGCCGAGATCGCACCACTGCACTCTGGCCTGGGCCACAGAGCGAGACTCCATCTCAAAAAAAAAAAAAAAAAGGAAGAAAAAAGAAAAAGTATGCATGTTGTTGCATATAAATATTTCATATGAGGTATTAAGATGCATCTTCTAATCATATTATCAATTGACTACATATAGGTTGTTTACTTCCTTTAATTCTTTTTATTTATTTATTTTGGCTACTCACATTAAATCCTCTTAGATGGGAGGCAGAGCTGTGCCTTTTACAATGAAAGCTGATGGAACCTCTTATAGGCAGAATACATGGATCTGAAACCAAGAGTAGGAATACATGACACTGATCACAATTATATCCAAATGACTTACAAGCAAAAGGTTCCTTTTTGTACCTGTGACTTTGGGCCCTGGTCTCTAAGGAACTGTGTTTTTACTCGATGATATAATGGTTGTTCCACTGAATTAGAATATGTACCAACACCCAGCTATTTCAAGCTCTTCACTAAAGGATAAACAAGCAAAAAAGGAAGTTGTATAATTTTGGCTGATGTAATTGATCCTGACAAAGATAAATGGAGCTGCTGGTTTGCAGTGGCAAAGGAGGGATGTGACTGGGACCAGAGGGACCATGGAAGGAGCAGTAGAGATAGCAGGTCATAAATCCCAGCAAAAGCCTCCTGAGTGATTACAAAGACAAAGTCTACGTCCTCAATCTGTGTTTCTCAATATGCTACGTTTTGTGTGTATTTATATTTTTAATTATCAAATATATTTAATTTCCTTTTTGTCTCCCTTTCCTCCCTCAGTAGTCTATATTTGGTACTTGTTGGTGGTTAACTTTACAATTTTGATTATAAGTTGCAGTATTTCCAGATAGAATTGTTAGCTGAAGTGTAGAAGAAGTGGACCTCAGCTGGCAGCCAAGGTTTCAGAGCTGGATATGCTTGGTGAGTGATGAGACTGTGGGTTGGTTTCCCTTGAAGACAATGTGGGTGTGCTTTCATTTGGCTGAGTGCTACATTTTGTTTGGTGGAAGCATTTATTTTTACTTTAGAAGGGAAAATGGGGGACGGGTGCGGTGGCTCACGCCTGTAATCCCAGCACTTTGGGAGACCAAGGCGGGCGGATCGCCTGAGTTCGGGAGTTCAAGACCAGCCTGACCAACATGGAGAAGCCCTGTCTCTACTAAAAATACAAAATTAGCCAGGTGTGATGACACATTCCTGTAATCCCAGCTACTTGGGAGGCTGAGGCAGGAGAATTGCTTGAACTCAGAGGTGGAGGTTGTGGTGAGCTGAGATCGCACCATTGTACTCCAGCCTGGGCAACAAGAGTGAAACTCCATCACAAAAAAAAAAAAAGGGGGGGGGAATGGGATGAAGAATGTATTATGATATTTGGAAGTCAAAGGGATGGACTTTATTCATATTGATTACGTTTAATAGAAATTTGTAATTTTTTTGATACCTGGCATCAAAATCCTTCCTATCTTGGAGGATTCCAAAGATAGATGGAGGAAAAACTCCCCTTCTACTACCAAAGTCAAAGGGAATAGATACTCTCTCTACTTAGTCAATATGGTACCTAGGGCACATGAGGAGGCCCGGTCAACTGGATTACTTCTTCCAGGAATGCTGAGTAGTGAGAGAGTGACACAAGATGCAGAGACAGTTGCAAGTCACTGGGATGGTGGCGAGTGTCCAGGGAGGCCAGCATTGGCCTGAGTGTACTGAGGTGTGGTCTTGGGAATATTGCCAGATGCATAATTGTCCTTAGTTACATTTTCTCCAGCCATTTCTTTTTGTATGCTGTCAGATATCTTTTGAATAAATTCCTTTCCTGCTTAAGCTACTGCTGGTTTTCAGTGATTGCATCCAAGAACTCAGACTGGTAAAATCCTAATGTTTAACTGGTTTATTGTTAGTTACTTAGCTTCTTTGCATTTTTAATATAAGGTGTGCTTCAATGATTTAGGCACAAAACTTTTCCCTCCATCTATAAGATTATTTTCTTAACATACAGTTTCCACAGTGGAATTACTGAGTTTTATAATAGATCATGATACACACTGTCAAACTGTTAATACTTTACAATGTAAAGAGATACTGTTTCACTGAATCTAGCATTGATCACATTTTGAACAACTGATACAGCAAGTAATAGAAGTTAGAATGATTTATCTGGCATTACTGAGGAATGAGATTTTTCACATATATAGATTTTTTTAGATAACTAAAGCTTATTATTTTATTTTATATATATTTATTATTTATTTTAAATATACGGAGTCTCACTCTGTTGCCCAGGCTGGAGTGCAGTGGCACAGTCTCGGCTCTCTGCAAGGACTCTGCCTCCCAGGATCAAGCGATTCTCATGCCTCAGCCTCCCAAGTAGCTAGGATTATAGGCACCCCCCTCTGTGCCTGGCTAATTTTTGTATTTTTATCAGAGACAGGGTTTCACCATGTTGGCCAGCCTGGTCTCGAACTCCTGACCTCAGGTGATCTGCCCGCCTTGGCCTCCCAAAGTGCTGGGCTTACAGGCATGAGCCACTGCGCCTGGCCAAAGCTTATTATTTTAAACACTAACATCTAGAAAGCACAACCATAGGCCGGGCGCAGTGGCTCATGCCTGTAATCCCAGCACTTCAGGAAGCCGAAGTGGGTGGATCACTAGCTCAGGAGTTCAAGAGCAGCCTGGCCAACATAGTGAAACACTGTCTCTACTAAAAAAAATACAAAAATTAGCCAGGTGTGGTGGCACGCACCTGTAGTCCCACCTACTTGGGAGTCTGAGGTAGGAGAATCACTTGAACCTGGGAGGTGGAGGTTGCAGTGAGCTGAGACGGTACAATTGCACTCCAGCAGGGGTGACAGAGCAAGACTATGTCTCGGAAAAAAAAAAAAGAAAGAAAGAAAGAAAGAAAGAAAAAAGCACAACCATATACAATTGCAGTCTGCAATCTTTTCAGGGTATATCACATACTTCCTACCATCATCAAACTGCAATGCCCAAGGACCTCCTTAGGTGATGAGTTTGTCTTGCCTTTTCACTTGATTTCCCAGATAAGTGTGCTTTTCTAACAGCTGGGGATTTTTCTGCTTCTTTAGAACTCAATAGCTAGTTCTCCCAGTCAGCAGATAGAAACCATTCTCTCTTTAACCATTCCCACACCCCCTGGCCTGTTACTTGTATAGTCTCTGATCACTGAAAAGGAAGAACAATTGAATGTTGCTATTGCAAACAAAGAAACCATGCTTGTAAAATTGTCTATTATTTGTTATAAGTTGAAAGTCAGTATCCTGATGGGAAAGCTGGGGTGTGTTCCACCCTCAGCTGTGGAGGAAAGAATGTAGACTTGGTGACAGCTGCATTTTTAGACTCTGGGTTATTTTATGCACCATTAATTGGTGGAGGTTTGAAAAAGTCTCAGTGCTGGATATGTGAACCATTGTAATTATATACTTCAAGGGAGATTTCTAGGGTGGTCCTTCCTGTAGAAAAGTTTCTTTCTATTCTTCAGGATCTCTAGGGAAATAGATTCTGCAGCTTTTTTTAACAACCTACATTTTAAGATTTTTCAAATTAATGTATAATTCTAAAGCTCTTTTGTTGAATTTTTATATCCTTTTTTTTTTTTTTTTTTGAGACAGAATCTTGCTCTGCCACCCAGGCTGGAGTGCAGTGGCCTGATCTCGGCTCACTGCGACCTCTTCCTCCTGGATTTAAGCTATTTTCCTGCCTCAGCCTCCGAGTAGCTGGGATTACAGGTGTGCACCACCATGCCCAGCTAATTTTTGTATTTTTAGTAGAGACAAGGTTTCGCCACATTGGCCAGGCTGGTCTTGAACTCCTGACCTCAGATGACCTACCTTCCTCCGTATCCCAAAGTGCTGAGATTATAGGCATGAGCCACCACGCCTGGCTTTAAATCCATTTTTTATGAGTCAGTCCTTAATGGAAATGCTCCAGCAGATCTTCCTTTTTCATATGTCAGTGTTGATGTTTATTATTTCTTATTCAAAAATGTGAAACCAAACTCCCTTAAAATAATCTTTCTGAAGGATAGCTTTCACAAACAGAAGCAATTTGTTCTATTATAAATCACACATGCAAAAAAAGTTAGTGTGAAATCAGACTCATTTTGAAATGAGACAATATGATTTTTATACTAAACAATAAGAACATGATTGCTAGTCTTTTAAAAATAAGCAACACATTTTACAGAAAAAATGTCCACTGATAAATGAGGAGAAGTAGTTCAATATTTATCTTTTTGAATATTGTTCCAGTGCCATTTGGGGAAAATAGAATCCCCTGGTTGAGAATGAGTGTGTAGGAAAGTAGGTATAAAAGCAAGTTACATTTTGAATTCTATGCAGTTTATTCACAAAAGAATAGTTTTGCAAATAAGAGTAAATCCAAATAAACATAAAATATAGGACAATCTAGTACATGCCATCCATATGTATTCCATCCTAGTATTGGAGATATTTATTTAATGTTTAGGTTTATTTGACTGAAATGATTATTAGTAAGTAGAGTACTTACTTAAATTTCTACTTGTTATATGGAACCTGTTATTTTTAAGTTAGGAAAGAGAAAGGCAAGAGGAAAGGTTTCTGAAACCAGAGACAATCTCATTACTTTCCCCTTTCAATTATGAAGTGGCATTTTCCTGGTGGCATTTCAACCTCCAACCACACTGAGCAGGTGTGTAATAAGGACAGGCTGTGGGGAAGGAAGGTAGAAGACATTCTCAGTATTTCACAGGTTCAACAGAGCCCCATGGGCTTGTACATCAGAAACCAGAAACAAAGGCACAAGCTTTTACACTTTAACTCTGCCTAGCTATAGCACGTAGCATATTTTTTTTCTTGTTCAACGATTTCATTTTTAATGGCAACAACTTGATCTTCCAATATTCTCAGTTGATCAGCTTTTGCTTGTCTACTTAGATTCAAATCTTGGATTTTCCTTTCTAAATCTGAAAGTAGAAAATGAAAGAAATGATACATTTCCATTTGATAGATTCCTCCTGGATATCCACATTATACCAAACACAGGGATTTGCGCGCCTCTCAAAGATATATTTAGTTTTCTGTTTTCAGTCAATGGATAAAACATCTATTTTCATCAGGCTTCTCAAGGTTTTCATATAAATTAGAGCAAACTGACATTTTTGTATAAAACTTTTATATCTAAAGGCATTTATCAATGTGAGGCTGTAGTTGGTTAGAATTCATTAGAAATGAAAAGACAGATAACATCCTTGAGGGACTTGCTGAAGTGCTATATTTCCAAAGGTTTGTTCTTATTATTTTAGCTTCATTTTAAAACATGTTCTTTACTTGTGTTTTCCAGTCTTTCAGAAAAAAAGACTGACTTTCATGTGTTCATTCTTCTTCTCTGCTGATACTGAAGTCTCTGAACAGTAACAGCTAAGTGATGCCTTTGTTGGCTTCACGCCTATCCATCCATCAATCCATTGATCCATCGACCCATCCATTGACCCATCCATCAATCCATCCATCCATCCATCCATCCATCCATCCATCCATCCATCCATCCATCCATCTGTCCATCCATCCATCTATACATTCATTTATATATTCTTCATTCAACAAATATCTGGAAATTCTAGTAAACCTTAACAAGGAGCCCATAGTAGTGGATACAAGATGCACAGAGAGCTATAGTTAATAATGTGAGGCAGCATTTTGCAAAGAAACTCTGACATTAGAGTTTTTGCAAAAATTCTAGAAGAGGGAAGGTAAATGTCTCACTTCACTTGGTCAGATCACACATGAATACCAAGTTGGTTTGGAGTAATTGTCAAACTAACATGTGTTTAGAAAAAAGAATCAGATTGCTGAAGGTACTTGAAACTGTCCTGTAAATAAACATTGAATTAACTGGTGATGTTTCATATGAGGAAGGCAGATTCAGGGCATGTGTCATGGCTGTTTTCAAGTATCTGAAGGACCAACCTAGGAAAGCAGAGTAAATGTGTTCTCTGTCATCCTGAGGAAATAAAATGGAAACTAGCAGGTAAAGCTCTGTGAAGGAAGATTTTGTCTAAATATAAAAAACTCTCTAGGATGGCTGCTCAAAGACAAAAGAGCTGCTGTGGAAGGTGGTGAGTGTTCTGTCACTAGATTGATTCCTTCCTTCCTTCCTTCCTTCCTTCCTTCCTTCCTTCCTTCCTTCCTTCCTTCCTTCCTTCCTTCCTCCCTCCCTCCCTCCTTCCTTCCTTCCTTTCCCTTCCTTTCCCTTCCTTTCTCTCTCTCTCTCTCTCTTTTTTTTTTTTGAGAGAGTTTTGCTCCTGTTGCCCAGGCTGGAGTGCAATGGCATGGATCTTTTTTTTTTTGAGAGAGTTTTGCTCCTGTTGCCCAGGCTGGAGTGCAATGACATGATCTCAGCTCACAGCAACCTCCGCCTTCCGGGTTCAAGTGATTCTCCTGCCTCAGCCTCCTGAGTAGTTGGGATTACAGGCATATGCCACCACACCTGGCTAAATTTGTACTTTTAGTAGAGATGGGGTTTCTCCATGTTGGTCAGGCTGGTCTTGAACTCCCGACCTCAGGTGATCCACTCACCTCGGCCTCCCAAAGTGCTGGGATTACAGGCATGAGCCACCGCACCTGGCCGAAACTTTCAAATATAGGTCATTTGGGATTGAAAAGGGGATTCGACATTGAAACCATATTTGAACTAAAGGAAAAGTAAAGGCCTCTGTTTGTACCAGGAAAGTTAATATCATTGAGCTGGTTACACCAGACCCATTCATCATCCTCATCTGTGTTCTGGAAAGTTACCCTTCCTGGATGACAGCACTTGGCTCTCTTGACCTCTGGCTTTCATTCACACATGGCCAATGGACAGTGCTGACAAATGGTCAGTGGATGGGAGGGTGAGCAGTCTCCATCCCAGTTTAGCACAGAGGTGTGGGCAGTTCTTCCATCCCTCAGGCTCCTGTAGGGTGGCCTCTTTCCTAACACTCTGGTGTTCACAGGGCTCTGGCAATGTTCCTGTTTCCCTGGCCCCTTCAGGTATAGACAGGCTAATGCCTTCTCACTGCTGCTAGTCACCAAGTACCTCCACAGCCTCAGTGGGTTCCCTTCATTCTTGTGCATTCTTTGTAGTTCTTTCCATCAAGAAGTAGAATCTGCTTACCCTGTTCCTACTCCCACACCCCCGAATCTGGGCTGGCTTTGTAAATTGTTTTGACCAATAGCAAGTTATGGTGCCTTGAAACAATCATGCTGTAAAGCAGCCTGGGATAACAGACCACGTATAGAGAGTGCCAGCATCTCAGCCACACCCAGCTCTTAACAGGCCATCAGCCAAATGCAGTTGCTTGAGAAACCCAGGTGAGACCTGCCAAAGAATCATCCAGGCAACCCACAGAAAAGTAAGAAATGGTGGTTATTCCAAAAAAAGTCCAGCACCAGACGGATTCACAGCCGAATTCTACCAGAGGTACAAGGAGGAGCTGGTACCATTCCTTCTGAAACTATTCCAATCAATAGAAAAAGAGGGAATCCTCCCTAACTCATTTTATGAGGCCAGCATCATCCTGATACAAAAGCCTGGCAGAGACACAACAAAAAAAGAGAATTTTAGACCAATATCTCTGATGAACATGGATGCAAAAATCCTCAATAAAATACTGGCAAACCGAATCCACTAGCACATCGAAAAGCTTATCCACCATCATCAGGTGGGCTTCATCCTTAGGATGCAAGGCTGGTTCAACATACTTAAATCAATAAACGTAATCCAGTGTATAAACAGAACCAAAGACAAAAACCACATGATTATCTCAATAGATGCAGAAAAAGCCTTTGACAAAATTCAACAGCCCTTCATGCTAAAAACTCTCCATAAATTTGGTATTGATGGTACGTATCTCAAAATAGTATGAGCTCTTTATGACAAATCCACAGTCAATATCATACTGAATGGGCAAAAACTGGAAAAATTCCCTTTGAAAACTGGCACAAGACAGGGATGCCCTCTCTCACCACTCCTATTCAACATAGTGTTGGAAGTTCTGGCCAGGGCAATCAGGCAAGAGAAAGAAATAAAGGGTATTCAATTAGGAAAAGAGGAAGTCAGATTGTCCCTGTTTGCAGATGACATGATTGTATATTTAGAAAACCCCATTGTCCCAGCCCAAAATCTCCTTAAGCTGATAAGCAACTTCAGCAAAGTCTCAGTATACAAAATCAATGTGCAAAAATCACAAGCATTCTTATACACCAATAACAGACAAACAGAGAACCAAATCATGAGTGAACTCCCATTCACAATTGCTTCAAAGAGAATAAAATACCTAGGAATCCAACTTACAAGGGATGTGAAGGATCTCTTCAAGGAGAACTACAAACCACTGCTCAGAAATAAAAGAGGACACAAACAAATGGAAGAACATTCCATGCTCATGGATAGGAAGAATCAGTATCGTGAAAATGGCCATACTGCCCAAGGTAATTTATAGATTTAATGCCATCCCCATCAAGCTACCAATGACTTTCTTCACAGAATTGGAAAAAACTACTTTAAAGTTCATATGGAATCAAAAAAGAGCCCGCATTGCCAAGACAATCCTAAGCCAAAAGAACAAAGCTGGAGGCATCATGCTGCCTGACTTCAAACTATACTACAAGGCTACAGTAACCAAAACATCATGGTACTGGTACCAAAACAGAGATCTAGATCAATGGAACAGAATAGAGCCCTCAGAAATACCATACATCTACAACCATCTGATCTTTGACAAACCTGACAAAAACAAGAAATGGCGAAAGGATTCCCTATTTAATAAACGGTGCTGGGAAAATTGGCTAGCCATAAGTAGAAAGCTGAAACTGGATCCTTTCCTTATGCCTTATACAAAAACTAATTCAAGATGGATTAGAGACTTAAATGTTAGACCTAAATCCATAAAAACCCTAGAAGAAAACCTAGGCAATACCATGCAGGACATAGGCATGGGCAAGGACTTCATGTCTAAAACACCAAAAGCAACGGCAACAAAAGCCAAAATTGACAAATGGAATCTAATTAAACTAAAGAGCTTCTGCACAGCAAAAGAAACTACCATCAGAGTGAACAGGCAACCTACAGAATGGGAGAAAATTTTTGCAATCTACTCATCTGACAAACGGCTAATATCCAGAATCTACAAAGAACTCAAACAAATTTACAAGAAAAAAACAAACAACCCCATCAAAAAGTCGGCAAAGGACATGAACAGACACTTCTCAAAAGAAGACATTTATGCAGCCAACAGACACATGAAAAAATGCTCATCATCACTGGCCATCAGAGAAATGCAAATCAAAACCAAAATGAGATACCATCTCACACCAGTTAGAATGGCGATCATTAAAAAGTCAGGAAACAACACGTGCTGGAGAGGATGTGGAGAAATAGGAACACTTTTACACTGTTGGTGGGAGTGTAAACTAGTTCAACCATTGTGGAAGACAGTGTGGCGATTCCTCAAGGATCTAGAACTAGAAATACCATATGACCCAGCCATCCCATTACTGGGTATATACCCAAAGGATTATAAATCATGCTGCTATAAAGACACATGCACATCTATGTTTATTGTGGCACTATTCACAATAGCAAAAACTTGGAACCAACTCAAATGTCCATCAATGACACACTGGATTAAGAAAATGTGGCACATATACACCATGGAATACTATGCAGCCATAAAAAGGGATGAGTTCATGTCTTTTGTAGGGACATGGATGCAGCTGGAAACCATCATTCTGAGCAAACTATCACAAGAACAGAAAACCAAACACTGCATGTTGTCACTCATAGGCGGGAATTGAACAATGAGAACACTTGGACACAGGAAGGGGAACATCACACACTGGGGCCTGTTGTGGGGTGGGGGGAGGTGGGAGGGATAGCATTAGGAGATATACCTAATGTAAATGATGAGTTAATGGGTGCAGCACACCAACATGGCACATGTATACATACGTAACAAACCTGCACATTGTACACATGTACCCTAGAACATAAAGTATAAAAGAAAAAAAAGAAATGGTGGTTATTTTAAGCCGTTACATTTTGGGGTAATTTATTATGCAGTGAATGAATGACTGAGACAACTCCACTTCTAAATACTTTATCCAAAATTATGCCCAAGTATGCTTTCTGTTTCTTGCTGGGACCCAGACTGACACCAAGTTCTGTGGAAGGACCCTGGCTGAAGACTGGAATCCATTCTCCACTCTCTCAACATTGTTGGTGCCAAGGACTCCATTCTGGGATCCAGAGGCTCCTCTTCCTAACAGAGGGGAACAGGCATAGCCTTGTGGTTCAGCCCCTTCTCAAGTGGCAGCATGGGGAAGACAGCCAAATCAATGTCTCATTTTTCTATCTTGCTGAGTTCTGAAAACAGCCTCAAAAGGAAAAGAGAAAAGGCAGTAGAATGCCTTATTTTAGACCTCCCTGAGAAGCTCTGTAGCTTCAACTTCTGTAAAAGCAACTCTGTAGCTTTTATAGTTCCAAACTAATTTCAAGAACTATAAAAGCTGTGGTCAATGGGGATCAGTGGAAACAATTTGTATATGACATAAAAACAGGACAGAAATATTCTCCCCATGTTTTTGCTCCTATAGTAAGGACCAACTTCTAGGATTAAAAAAACTGACTTTCATAGTATTGTCTATGGAATACAAGGTTAAAAAAATCTGTTTTTCTAAATCTTTCTTAGTGTTTTGTAGTTAAAACAAAATTTTAACGAAAATACTTAAAAATGAAAAAAATTACCCACAAGCCTGCTGCTTTAAAAACAATTATATAAGTGCAAGAAGCAGTGGTTTCTTCTTCACTCCCACTGCCTCCCTAGAGATAACTAATGTTAGCAGTTTGGTATGTATTTTTCCTGACTTTGGCCCATACTAATGTTCCATTTTCAGTTTTTTCATGTCATAGTGATGATATAAGTGGTTGTAAGACCAAAGACTCATTTGATAATAAAAAAAAGAGGCATTTATAAGTAAGGAGTTTTGGTTACTTTAGTATTTTGAGAGTTACTTATACTCCTAGTTTTAAAGTTTTGGAAGATAATAAATACAACCAGGGGTATATTATAACTATACAATCATCATCTGATATTTCTTGATGATTAGAGATCAAGGACATGATGATTGTCCCCAAAAATCATAAATATCAATTGTGTAAAAAAAGATTCTGATTAGCTTTCTGATTGTATGTATTCTATGTTTCTTATTTTATTTTGTTTTGAGACAGAGTCTCTCTCTGTTGCACAGGCTGGAGTGCAGTGGCATGATCTCAGCTCACTGCAACCTCCGCCTCCCGGGTTCAAGTGATTCTCCTGTCTCAGCCTCCCAAGTAGCTGGGATTACAGGCATATGCCAGCATGCCTGGCTAATTTTTTTAATTTTTAGCAAAGATAGAGTTTTGCCATATTGGCCAGGCTGGTCTCAAACTCCTGGGCTCAAGCAGTCCATCTGCCTCAGCCTCGCAAAGTGTTGGGATTACAGGTGTGAGCCACTGCACCCAGCCTGTATTCTATGTTTACAACACTTTGTGTGCATCAGAATGTCCATTTAGATCAAAATCCTTGTCCAGAATATGATTCTTTCTGGGTTGCTATCCAAAGATATATGCTATCTGACCTAGTGCCCTAGATTATATTGACTCTTTTCGAGAGTTACTTTCATGACAGGAAAAATAAACAACATAGGTTAGAACAGGGTTTCTCAATCTCAGCACTATTGACATTCTGGGCAAGATAACTGTTTGTTTAGGCAGTTGTCTTGTGCATTGTGGGATGTTTAGCAACATCCCTGCCCTCGACCCACTACATGCTAGTAGTTCCTTCTAGGGTGACAAGCAAAAATGTCTTCAGACATCTTACCCCTAGTTGAGTTGAGAACAAAGTTAGAAAAAAAAAAGCTTTTTTTTTTTTTTTTTGAGATGGAGCCTTACTCTGTTGCCCAGGCTGGAGTGCAGTGGCATCATCTTGGCTCACCACAACCTCCGCCTCCCAGGTTCAAGCAATTCTTCTGCCTCAGCTTCCTGAGTAGCTGAGATTACAGGCGCCCACCACCATGCCCGGCTAATTTTTGTATTTTTAGTAGAAACGGTGTTTCACCATGTTGGCCAGGGTGATATCGAACTCCTGACCTCAGGTGATCCACCTGCCTTGGGGTCCCAAAGTGCTGGGATTACAGGTGTGAGCCACTGTGCCCAGCCAACAAAGGGCATTTCAAGGAAATCTCAGTTTGTTTTGACTAATGCAAGGCAGATGCTCATTAACCTTTCTAGGCAAATCCATGCAAGAGGCTTGTTAACTTGACAGTCCCCAAAACACAAGACCAATTTCGACTTCTTTCTCCTCAGTGGACTCATGTGATAAAACTGTAAGCTGACATTGGTATAAATTCTACTAGTAAGGTAGAGTACCAGGATGTTATTATCAAATTGGCAGGATGGATAAAAGAATAGATACCTGTTATTCTTCTTATCTTGTCCTCTGTATCTCCAGCCAATTTTTCTGCAGCATCTTTTAGCTGTTTAACTTTTCCTAATGTTTCCTTTGTTAGTCCTGTAGTGCTTGTCTTATGCTGGAGCATAGCATATTGTTTTTTCAGCTCAACAAATTCCTGTAACAAGCAACACTCACATCATGAGAAAATATGTATAAAGCAGGTACCTATATGCATGATGATTCTCCTAATACCATTCATAGAAGGAATACAGAGGAAACCTTAATCCAGTCAATACGCTTGAGTCACTCTGATATTTCCAGCAGAGTTTTATTTGCATGTTTGTTTTTTCAGGTTGAAAAAAATCTCATCTTCTATTAAAAATAAAACTTCTTTGTTCAAAATAGCAGTTGTTATTGCGTGTTAAGGCAAGTATTTCTGAGGCACCAACTGGTTGTTCTGCACTATGTTAAGGTAGGATGTGGAAGACAGAAATGACCCAATCCCATCCTTGACAAATCTCTGGTTCAGTTCAGTCAATCAGCTGTACATGCAAAATGAAGGACAGAGTGAGTGATGAAGATTTAGAAACAGCAAGGATATGTTATTTGGTTGGCAAAAAGGTGAGAGAGAAATGAGGTAGGAAGGGAGGCAGGTGGGGAAGTAGAAGTGTAGTATGGAGACCTCCCTTGAATAGAATGGAAATCTTTGGGTTAGCTTGTGTGTTGACAACATAGAAGCTTAAGTAGATGAATAAAGGCCAGAGCCAGAAATGAAATATGGAAGTGGGAACAGGGTGAGTAGAAAGTACCTTTCTTGGCTGGGTGTGATTGCTCATGCCTGTAATCCCAGCACTTTAGGAGGCTGAGGCGGGCGGATCACGAGGTCAGGAGATCAAGACCATCCTGGCTAACATGGTGAAACCCCATCTCTACTAAAAATGCAAAAATTAGCTAGGCGTGGTGGTGCGTGGCTGTAATCCCAGTTACTCAGGAGGCTAAGGCAGGAGAATCGCTTGAACCAGGGAGTCAGAGGTTGCAGTGAGCTGAGATTGAGCCACTGCATTCCAGTCTGGTGACAGAGCGAGACTCTGTCTCAAAAAAAAAAAAAAAAAAAGAACTTTTCTCAATCTCTGTTCCACAGAAAATGTTCTCAATTCCTCTCAGTGGAAAATTTACCCAGCACGTTAGGAATTAAAAGCAGGAGAATAGACCAATTGTAAAAACACTAACATTTTTCTTTTGTTTAGGCAACTATATTAATGCAACCAACCAAAGATTTCTTGCGAGGAAAATGAGCTGATAGGTTCTTTCAGCAACCTAAATTAATGGTCTACTTTCCACAACCGTTTAATTAACTCATTCTGATTTTTGTAAATTGATGTATTTTCTTTGGCAGGTGACTTTCATTTATTGTTTTCTTTATATGTTGTGTGACTGAATGAGAATAGAGGGCAAATACATGCAATTCAGACAAACCACATAAATTGTGAAAGTTTGGAAGTTCAGGGCAAATTTGATTTATGGACTGTTTGACCAGGACACCACTAAGAGTAATAGGATAGAGAGATGGGGGGTGGCGGGGAACACTCCAACACGATTTGGCCAGGGACTTCTGCCATCTATAGACAGACGATCCTTTGTGTATCAGGATCCCCTCGAAGATATACCATTGAGTCATGGACCAGCACAAAGGAAACGCTGAGAAATGGCACAAAAATCTGGGGTTAAAGGACTATCTTTCAAAGAAGCTCTGTTTTTCTGCTCTTGGTGGCAGTGGTAGAACTAATGACCTTCTCAAGACTTCCAGCCTGGTGTTGGGCAGATTCAGCCTGAACTTTCACATTGACAGCGTGGTCTTCATGCCTTTGCAACTTGGTCTGCAGCAGGGCAAGTCCATCCTCCAGCCCTGATCGCTGCTTTGCTGACTCCAGCTCATTCTTCATTTCCCTGGTTTGATTTTCAGCCTGTTGTTGATTTAAAGACCAGAAAGGGACAATCTCTTTATGAATCAAACAAGAAGATAAATGATATATTAACCCCTTGAAAAATATGCTGGGTGTAAAGGAAAAGAAAATAGTGCCTTCACTTTTTCTGTTGCATGTATTTAAAATGTTATAATAAAATATTTCAGACATTCAAAAGGGTCTGAGAAATACAACGTTAGCCTGGTGTGGGGTATGTGCCTGTAGTCCCAGTACTCAGGAGGCTGAGGTAGGAGGATTGCTTGAGCCCAGGAGGTTGAGGGTGCAGTGAGCTATGATTGTGCCACTGCACTCCAGCCTGGGTGACAAAGAGATACCTTGTTTCAACAACAACAACAACAACAAATAAAAAATAAAAAATATAACAAATACCCATGTACCCACCAGCCAGTTTAAGAATAGAACACTAACAATGCACTAAGGCCCTCAGCGTACCACTCCCCATTATATCTTCTCTCTCCCCTCAAAGACAACCACTGTCTTGAATCTAATTTTTGTCATTCCATGTATCTCTGTAGGTTTTTTCCTACAACCTATGCAGTATTCCTAACAATATATAGTATTTAAATTTTTTCACCTTATACAAATGTATTGTATATTTCTGCAAGTTGATTTTCTAAAATGAAAAGTTATGAAAATTATGCTTATGTAGGTCATTTAAGCTAATCTACATAGCCTAGTTCATTCATTTTTACCAGTTTAAAGCATTCCATTGTTTGAACATATAACAATGTATTTTCTATTCTCCAGCTGGTGCAAGTGGCTTCTAATTTTTTCCCCTTACAAACAGTAATAATACTTCATGCCTGTTTCTTATTTCAATGTCTATATTGATCATATCAAATCCTATTTAAATATTTTTCAAATATAGCTGGTTGTTAGCGCTTGTCTCTTGTTTGTTGGTCATACTTTCATATTTTCTTAGATTTTCTTAAACATAGTAAACATTCTTATTTTGTATTCTGTATCCAATAATGGTAATATCCTCTGTCTCTTGTGTCCTGATTTTGTTGTTCATTATTTCTGATGACTCTTGTTTAAAGGTAATTTGTGCCTGGGCACAGTGACTCATGCCTGTATTCCCAGCACTTTGGGAGGCCGAGGCAGGTGGACCACTTGAGGTCAGGAGTTCGAGACCAGCCTGGCCAACATGGTGAAACCTCGTCTTTTCTAAAATTATAAAAATTAGCTGGGCGTGGTAATACGTGCCTGTAATCCCAGCTATTCAGGAGGCTGAGGCAGGAAACTTGCTTGAACCCAGGAGACGGAGGTTGCAGTGAACCAAGATTGCGTCACTGCACTCCAGCTGAGGCGACAGAGTGAGACTCCATCTCAAAAAAAAAAAAAAAAAAAATCTAAAGAGGCAATTTGTATTTACATGTTTGGGGGAAATTCTTGATGGCTAGGTTTTAAGGTCATTCCTTTGGAGGGGATTTTTGTTTGCCTCTATCAGGCATCTGGGAGTACTACCAACCCAGGGCTACTTCAAATGATACTAGGGTTTTGAGGGCCACCCAGGTAGTGTAAATTCTAGCCTCCAAATTGTATGGGAGCCACAAATTGTGGTTAGCAAATCTTAGTGGAGATGTTACTCCCCAACCCAGGGGCAAGTTTTTCTGCTGGCTCTGGCTCTGTGTGTGTGTCTGTGTGTGCGTGTGTGTGTGAGAGAGAGAGAGAGAGAAAGAGAGACAGAGAGAGACAGAGAGATTTTAACATTTCACTAAGGATTTTGCCATTTGGGGTCCCAGTTCTATGCAAGAATCTTGTTGCCTCCTGTGCGGCCTTTGCTTTCTGTCTTACATACATGGGGACCATTAAAACCCAAAGCTTTAATGCTCCAGGGATTGGCAGATGCCTGCTGCCTGCTGTCAAGTTAGTGCTTGATTACCTCTGAATTCATGCTTTCCTGTCATTTTTGGCCTCTGAGACTATCAAAAGTTTCTTACTAATTCAGCTATGCATTAAAAAATCTAAATAGCCAATCTAATATTTTCATGTGTTTTTTCAACTACCAGGGTTCCTTAGGATATTGGCTCACCATATTTTTAGAAATGAAAGTCCCTTCCTATACCTTTGGGCATATGTGGTGGTTTGCCTAGAGCAGCAGCCTGCAAACTTTTTCTGTAAAGGGCCAGCTAGTAAATACTTTATACTTTGTGGCCTATAAAGTCTCTATCCCAAATATTTAACTCTCTGTCATTGCAGTGCAAAAGGAGCCATAGACAATACAGCCTGTGGTCATGTTTTGCTATCCCTTGTTCTAAGTATATGCCTAGAAGGGGAAATCCTGGGGCCTTCCTTTTTGCTACCCTATATATGCAACCTCTTCCTATCCAATCCCTTTATTTCCTGGTGTATTACTTCCTGTTCTGTTGCTTTCTGCTTTTCGTTGTTGTTGTTGTTGTTGTTGTTGTTTTTGAGACAGAGTCTCACTCTGTTGCCCAGACTGGAGTGCAGTGGCGCAATCTCGGCTCACTGCAACCTCCGCCCCCGGGAAGAGCGATTCTCCTGCCTCAGCCTTCCAAGTAGCGGGGATTATAGGTGCCCGCCACCATGCCTGGCTAATTTTTGTATGTTTCGTAGAGATGGGGTTTCACCATGTTGGCCCGGCTGGTCTTGAACTCCTGACCTCAAGTGATACACTCGCCTCAGCCTACCAAAGTGCTGGGATTACAGGTGTGAGAAACCATGCCTGGCCAAATGGAGCATTTCTTTTGGATGAGATTTTTTTTTAGTTTTAGGATACTCTGATGAGATTTCATGCACGTTTAATTACAAGAACCTTACAACAGTGAACTCTCATTTCTTTGGTTTGTGAGCTTTTAAAAAGTCTGTTCCTTTGCCTGGTGTCAGAAGGGAGATGCTCTGACCTCATATCTACCACTAATTAGCTGTGTGACCTTAGGCAATCACCTAACCTTCCCGAGTCTTAGTTTCCTCATTTCCAAGCTGGTGTTAGTACCTGCCTTGGTATAACCCCAGAATTGGTCACAATTAATACGACGATGCTGAGAAGTGCTCTGTAGAACATTAAATACATGCATAATACTACCCAAATCTTATTTTATCCTCATAATAATCCCATCAGACTCGTAAAGCAAGCATAGCATTGGCATACATAAAAAGTACTGTGATGTTTCTACCCTCAAAACCTATTTCAGGTTAGTTTCAAAGAGGACAAATACCTGCAGCACATTCTTTTTTATTTTTGTTATATTGGCAGTCAGCTGTGTAATGGTAGAGTTTGCTCGTCCATGAGTGATTTGAGCTTGTTGCAACTGGTTCAACGTTTTGTCAAGATTTAATAGAACATTTGCTGCTTTCCTAAGGTAAGATATTAACACATCAGATTAGATAAACACATAATTATTCACTTATTTCACCTTGAGAGAGTTCATTTGACTCAACCAAATACTTTACTGAATTATTAAGCAAATTTAAATTACTCTTAAACAAGAGAAAGTGCTGAAGTCTTCATTTTGAGAAATATGTATATTTAAATGCCAACAAAAGAAAACCCCACACACGTATATATTCATAGCCAGTAGACACAGATTTTGTTAAATATGGAAATTAAGGATACAGGTCTTGTTTCTTTTGATTTGTCATAAGCAGAGAGATTTGGGGTGATGTAACTATCAATCTTTGCACATAAAAACTATCCTGTGAATTCTAGTTTCCCTGATGTCTTAAATGTGAGCTACACTTTCTCAGTCTCTATTGGAGTGGGGGTTGGGAGGGTCAAGAGGCCCCACAGAGAGCAAAGAGAGGACTACAGGCCCTGCATTTTCAGGCTTGTTTATTCAGAGTTAGCTAAGCTTCACTGACATTCCAGCCACTAAGAAGCCCAGTCAGAGGTTAAAATCACAAGCATTTCAAGTGATATAGTCTTTCTGCAGAAAGGAACTCACCTCAAGTCAACAATCACCAAATACTTAGATCTGTGGGCTCAAACCACCTTGAGAAGAATGTACTGAGGGAGTGAAATAACAGATAGACCTTTGCAGAAGCATCATTAGAAATGTATGTGCCCACAGTAGAGTTAGCTAAATTGCAAAATATTCCCTTTATCACCCAGCTCATCCTTTCCTCCCAGTGGTAATCTGTTTCCCTTTCTAAACTTCAGGAGCCTTCCCTCCTCATCATCTCACTGTCACCAGCATTTCATTTTTGTAATATTCCTAGGGTACCGGTGTCCATTTTTTCTATTCCCTGCCACCATTATCTTTTTATTATATTCTTTTTTTCCTTTAGATTTTTAATTTACTACTGCAGGCCAGGCATGGTGGCTCATGCCTGTAATCTCAGCACCTTGGGAGGCTGAGGCAGGTACATTGCTTGAAGCCAGGACTTTGAGACTAGCCTGGACAATATAGTGAAACCCCATCTCTACTAAAAATACAAAAAATTAGTTGGGTGTGGTGGTGCATGCCTATAATCCCAGCTACTCGGGAGGCTGAGGCATAAGAATCACTTGAATTCGGGAGGTGGAGGTTGCAGTGAGCTGAGATCGTGCCACAGAACTAAAGCCTGGATGACAGATTGAGACCCTGTCTCAAAAGGAAAAAAAAAAAAAAAGAAAAAGATTTTCAGTGTACTGCTTATTATAGCAAATTTAGAAAATACCCAAAAAAGAAAAACAAAATGTAAGAAGGGGAAAAAAGCCAGTAATCTTGCCGTCTTTTAAAATGTTAGGATATTGTAGCAAAATTTTTTATTTTCATAATTCAGATCCTCTTTCATGTATAAATTGTTACCTGATTTTTTTTTCAACTTCCTGTTCAGTTTGGATGTTATCTGCTTTTTACAAAGCACTACCATTGAACTATAAGAATCTCTACCTGTTATTAAACATCTTTTATCACCTTTTTTTATTTTTTGAGATGGCGTCTCATTCTTGTCACCCAGGCTAGAGTGCAATGGTGCGATCTCAGCTTACTGCAGCCTCTGCCTCCCAGGTTCAAGTCCAAGCAATTCTCTGCCTCAGCCTTCCGAGTAGCTGGGATTACAGGCTCATGCCACCATACTGACTAATTTTTGTATTTTTAGTAGAGACAGGGTTTCGCCATGTTGGCCAGGCTGGTCTCTAACTCCTAGCCTCAAGTGATCCACCTGCCTCGGCCTCCCAAAGTGCTGGGATTACAGTCCTGAGCCACTTCACCCAACCCATCAGTATCACTTTTAATTGCTGTGTGACTACTTGATTTTTTTTTTTTTTTTTTTTTGAGACAGAGTTTTGCTCTTGTTGCCCAGGCTGGAGTGCAATGGCGCCATCTCCGCTCACTGCAACCTCCGCCTCCCCAGTTCAAGCGATTCTCCTCCTCAGCCTCCCAAGTAGTTAAGATTACAGGCATGCGCCACCATGCTCAGCTAATTTTGTATTTTTAGTAGAGACAGGGTTTCTCCATGTTGGTCAGGCTGGTCTTGAACTCCCGATCTCAAGTGATCAGCCCGCCTTGGCCTCCCAAAGTGCTGGGATTACAGGCGTGAGCCACCGTAATCCTTAAGTAATTGCTATGCAGTTAATCTTCCTGGTTTTAAATATTAAACCTGGAAGGAGTTGGACTTTTGGATGAATCTGGTGCACTTTGTTTGTACATGTGGATGATGAGACAGTGACAATGGGTCAGATCTCAGTGATGGGGGGTGCTGAGATGGCCACCACCTAACTGATCCTGTAACCCTGACCCACAGCACGCCATGCTCATAAAAACGTCAACATGACTTTTTTTTTTTTGGTTGGCTAAGTCAATAGGACAAAAGGCAAGAGTTAGTTAATTCTGTCTAGCATAGATATCATTTTCATCTTGCAGTATTCCTGGAACTCTAGTGTCCATTTCTTCTGTTCCCCATCATTACATTGGGTTGGTGCAAAAGTAATTGCGGTTTTGGCCATTACTTTCAATGGCAAAACCTGCAATTACTTTTGCAACAACTTAATATCTTTTTACTGAGAATGTACTGAGGGAGTGAACTATCAGACTTTTAAAAAAGATTTTGATTTCAAAGTACTGCTTAGTAGAAAATACCAAATATAAATAAGGGAAAAACTATACCAATATTCCAACCACCTGTTAAAATATTGGCATATAATGAGTATTTAACATTTATTGGTATAAAAAGGTATCAGGCCACTGGAAAGGCATTTTGAGTCTAAGAAAATAGGAAGAAAGCATCCCTGAACCCTGCCGCCCAGTCACCCAGCTTCCTGGGGTATCTCCAAAGAGAGCTCAGCCCTCAACTTGGACACTGAACTCTCAGAAGGTAATTTCATTTGAATGTTATAGCTCCCTAAGCGAATATTTTCCAGATGTCCTTTCAGCAGATGGTCTGTTAGAGCAAGATAAGAATATTAATATAGTACTTACTCAGCTGCTTTAGCCTTCACCAGAAGCTTTTGGGCTCCATCTGCTTCTTCACTTAGCCTGTTTTCATCTGACCTGTAATCCTTACAGAGTTGCATAAGTTTCTGTATTTTGTTAACTTCATCCGTTAGATTTTGGGATGGAATTGGTAGGTGAATGTCAAGTACACCATTTGCAACCTTCTCGATGTCTTCTGGAGGCACGTTTTCCTCTTAAATAAGAAGGAGGGTTTTAGGTAATCATGTCTCCTTAACAAATACTGTATCTTAAAAGTATAACCACAATGATGTCTCAGCCAACTGCACTAGGATTTGATTATGTGTTCCTAGAATACAGGGATTAGATTGTAGGTGTCCCATAGATTCTTCTTCATCCTCAGCTGTCCCTTGTCTCTGGAAGAAACACTGCTGGCTGAGTGCTGAATACTAGCTGAACAAGTGCTTGCTGGAAAAACAAAATACTACAGATTTGGAACATTGTGTGTATTCTACAAAATGCCCTGAGAATGATTTATTATAAGTACATACTCAAAAGCAGTTAACATGTTTAGATACCTGTCATGAAAATTCAAGCACAGTGAAGGAGACATTGGAGAAGCACTGCGTTTGAAATCAACAAAACTGGATTCTGGTCCTCCATGACATTAAAAAGGCTCACGATTTTTGGTCATCTATGTAATTGGGTAATTGTACCTGATACTAGACTCAAAGGCCTATTCTGGGATTGGAGTGAGACAATACAGAGTAAAGGAACATGTTAATAGCATGTTATAAATAAACTTTTTTTTTTTTCTTTTTTGAGACAGAATCTCACTTTGTTGCCAGGCTGGAGTGCAGTGGTGGCGCAATCTTGGCTCACTGCAGCCTCTGGTTCAAGTGATTCTCCTGCCTCAGCCTCCTGAGTAGCTGGGATTACAGGTATGCACAACCATGCCCAGCTAATTTTTTTGTATTTTTAGTACAAAATAGTTGTATTAAACTATTTAGTTGGCCAGGATGGTCTTGATCTCCTGACCTCATGATCTGCTCGCCTTGGCCTTCCAAAGTGCTGGGATTATAGGTGTGAGCCACTGTGCCCCACCAAAGAAACTTTCAAATACATCCATACTCTACTTTCCAGAAAAGTAAATTTGGCCCCTATTGAGAACTAAAGTGGAAGATGAACTGTTAGAGCAAGCTTGTTTGACCCACAGCCCGAGGCCCACATGTGGCCCAGGACGGTTTTGAATTTGGCCCAACACAAATTCGTAAACTTTCTTAAAACATTATGAGATTTTTGTGTGTGTGATTTTATTTTTATTTTTAGCTCATCAGCCATTGTTAATGTTAGTGTATTTTATGTGTGGCTCAAGACAATTCTTCCTCTTCTAGGGTGGCCCAGGGAAGCCAAAAGATTGGATACCCCTGTGTTACAGCAAAGCCATTTGTCACTCTCCAGCTACTTACTGAACATCTACAATTCCTATAGGGAAGCTAGAGATGAACTAGACGTGGATCTAATCCTCAGGGGGCTTGCCGTCAGGTGAGGGCCTATAAGTCATTATATACAAATATTGATCACATAGGAACAGAAGTGATCAATATAAGGCAAAACGCTATGGGGTTCAGAGGAAGGGGAAAATAATCCAGGAAGGACTTCAGGTGCATTGAAACTGCGCCTGGGAGGACAGCAGGTTAAACTTGTGGAGACTGTGGGATGTGGGGAGGGGTAAGAGATATTCTAAACTGAGAGAATTACAGGAGCTAAAGCTCATGGTGGTATAAGAAACAGTGCATGGATCACTCTTGGCAGGAGAGTAGTGTGCTTAGAAGGGCTGGGAGCAGATGGCACAAGTCCCTGTGTCAGAGGCTGAGGAACTTAGACTTTATTCAGAGAACAGTGGGAGCCAAAAATGATTTTCAGCATTTGAGTGACATGACATGAGTATATATTCTGCTTGTAGTCATTTTGCTTTAGCTATTTTTCTTAACGTAAATGAAATATTTTACTTTCTGTAATATTTTTGAAGCAATGTGACAAGAATTTTTTTGTGAGTAAAGTAAAATGACATTTTAAATAAAATCAGGGAGTTGGCTCTTTAAAGAAACATACTTTTTATTTTTCTTTTTTTTCTTTTTTTGAGATGGTATCTTGCTGTATCGCCCAGGCTGGAGTGCAGTGGCATGATCTCGGCTCAATGCAACCTCCGCCTCCCGGGTTCAAGCGATTCTCCAGTCTCAGCCTCCCGAGTAGCTGGGATCACAGGCATGCACCACCACATCCAGCTGATTTTTATATTTTTAGTAGAGACAGCATTTTGCCATGTTGGCCAAGCTGGTCTCAAACTCCTGACCTCAGGTGATCCACCTGCCTCGGCCTCCCAAAGTGCTGGGATTACAGGTGTGAGGCACCATGCCCAGCCAGAAACAGCAGCTTTTTAATTTAAAAAGTTCTAGTACATCATACTGAATGGGCAAAAGCTGAAGATTCTCCCTGAAAACCAGCACAAGACAAGGATGCCCTCTCTCACCACTCCTGTTCAACATAGTGTTGGAAGTCCTGGCCAGAGCAATCAGGCAAAAGAACGAATAAAGCATACCCAAATAGGAAGAGAGGAAGTCAAACTATCCCTGTTTGCAGATAGCATGATCTCATATCTAGAAAACCCTGTAGCCTTGGCCCAAAAGCTCCTTAAGCTGATAACTTCAGTGAGGTCTCAGGATACAAAATCAATGCAGAAAAATCACTAGCATTCTGATACATCAACAACAGTCAAGCCAAGAGCCAAACCAGGAAGGCAATCTCATTCACAGCTGCCACAAAAAGAGTAAAATACCTAAGAATACAGCTAACCAGGGAGGTGAAAGATCTCTACAGGGAGAACTACAAAACACTGCCCAGAGAATCCACAGGTGACTCAAACAAATGGAAAAAGATTCCATGCTCATAGGTGGGAAGAATCAACATCATTAAAATGGCTATACTGCCCAAACAATGTGCAGATTCAAGGTTATTCTTATCAAACTACCAATGACATTCTTCACAGAACTAGAAAATATATTTTAAAGTTCATATGGAACAAAAAAAGAGCCTGACTAGCCAAGGCAATCCTAAGCAAAATGAACATAGCTAGAGGCATCATGCTATCTGACTTCAAGCTATAATACAGGGCTACAGTAACCAAAACAGCATGGTGCTGGTACAAGAAAACAGACATATAGACCAATGGAACTGAAAAGAGAGTCCGAAAATAAGACCACACACTTAGAACTATCTGATCTTTGACAAAGTCAACAAAACCAAGAAATGGGAAAAAGACTCCCTCTTCAATAAATGGTGTGGGATAACTGGCTAGCCATATGCAGAACACTGAAACTGGACCTCCTCCTTACATCTTATATGAAAATTAACTCAAGATGGATTAATTAAGACTTAAAGGTAAAACCCAAAACTATAACGAACTTGGAAGGCAAACCTAGACAGATATTATCCTCAAGCAGCGAGGCATCCGGGCAACGATTTCATGATAAAGAGCACGC